GGAGGGGGAGAGAGAGAGAGAGAGAGAGAGAGAGAGAGAGAGAGAGAGAGAGAAATGGGCACCCGGACCACTTCAAACCGGTGATAACTCCTCTCTCTCTAGGGGCTGGGACGTCGCTCCCGCATCCTGGTCGGGGGACAGATGCAGCACCGTGAAACATAAAAAGCGTCGAAATGGTCCGCAAATACCGCCGTTTCCCCGGTTCCGATGTCCATGACGTTGAAGCCAGAAAGAGGCGGCGAAGCCGGGCGAGGATAGCGCCGGTGACTCGAACCGCAGCCACCATAGTAGAGCTTCCTTCCTAGGCCCAGGCTCCGTCCGGCCCTTGCTGCCCGCGGCCCAAGAGCCTACACCGTCTGCCGGTTGTGCATGAAAGCTCTAAAAATTTGGCGTGTCCGGCCATGCTGCCCGCGGCCCAAGAGCCTACACCGTCTGCCGGTTGTGCGTGAATGCTCTAAAAATTTGGCGTGTCCGGCCCACACTGCCCGCGGTCCAAGAGCCCACACCGTCTGCCGGTTGTGCATGGAAGTTCTCAACCTTTGGCGTGTCCGGCCCACGCTGCCCGCGGCCCGAGAACCCACACCGTCTGCTGGTTGTACATGAACGCTCTCAAACTTTGGCGCGTCCGGCCTACGCTGCCCGCGAGCGAAGAGCCCGCACCGTCCGACGGTTGTGCATGAAAGCTCCAAAAATTGGCATGTCTGGCCCACGTTGCCCGCGGCCCGAGAGCCCACGCCGTCTGCTGGTTGTTCATGAAAGCTCCAAAATTTGGCGTGTCCGGCCCACGCTGCCCGCAGCCCGAGAGCCCACACCGTCTGCCGGTTGTGCATGAAAGCTCCAAAATTTGGCGGGTCCGGCCCACGCTGCCCGCGGCCCAAGAGCCCACACCGTCCGATTGGGCCTAAAAGCTACTTTAGAAAAAGGAGATTTTCCCAGCAGCCTATTTGCCCTGCTGCTTCGACGCGGTACTCGCCTCTCATGGCATGGCGCTACCGTCGCCCAACGGCGATGATACCCGCAGCCGCCGGGCCGACAGAAGCAAGCGATGACGATGATGCTGGCGCTAGGCCGGCGGCAGCATACCCTTGATCTTCCAGTGCGGCCAAGTTCGCCAATTTCGCCAATTTCGCCAAGATGTTACCCAGGTCTTGTTGGAGGCGGGAAGTTTGTTCGTCTTGCTCGCCACCCGCAGGCCGACCTTCTTTCGCTGGGCAATACCCGCTTCTTGAGATTAGCACTCCCCTCCTTGACCGACTTTTAAAGCTCTATTGTTCCACAGCCAAGGGGGTGCGGAAAGAGCCCAATATTTCTACGGAAAGGCCTCGACTAACAGGTTTCCAAAGCCGTCATTATTGGTGTTGGTCCAATCTTGGTTGTGGAGCAATCGGTCTTTCACAGGTGGCCAGCGGGCACGGTTTCGGGGGGGTTAACGTGACATGTAACCCCTAGGCGTTGTGCAACCTGCGTAACCCGGTCGGGCGCACCTTTACCAACCTCCGAGGTTAGGCATAGGCAGGGGTCCGAAACGCCGGTCTAAACCCAGTTGAGGGAAATTTGTATCTGTGCTTGGTTGCAGGCGAGGTTGTCCAAGCCCGAGAATGCCCATGCCTTGCCGCGAAAACTTTGTACCAGCCGGTGTCCACAGAGTACACGACACACCGATTTATCGGACATTCGCGGCATATATGAAAAAACAAAACTTCAAGAGTGCCGGCATTTGTAAGAGCGTTTTTTTATAGTTGACTACCGTTGGACGCGCAAAAATGAAACACTACACCCCCCCCATCTCCGCACCACCAGTACTATTTTCAAAGCAACCTCCTCCTCGCCGCTGATCTGCAACTAACTGCCCACCGTTCACCCCGCGAGTAGCCCCTCACCCCTTCGTGAGTGCTAATTATATCTTGCAGCTGTCGCGTTTTGGGGGCTCTGTTCTTACACCACAAAGAAATGCGGGTTCGTTCTTGTTCTTTACAACACGTCGGGCCTGAGCACGCACGTGTGTTGTAGTGTTCAATTTGTCGTCAATTTCTTTGATTTTGACTTTTTTTCGAGGTCGCATTTCTCAATTGCCAAGTTCTCAAGTGCGAGCGCCATCTTCATCTTCTCATAATGTAGTGCCGGAAGCAACATTGACATAGGCCTACTCTATTTGATGTATATATATTGTTGCATAGAAACACGCACGGCAACGATTGGGGGGCAAAGCAAAGACCGAGAAAAAGAGAGATAAATTAGGCGATGATATACTACCTACACACGCTGCCTCTGTAAACGTCAATACGACAACACGTACGTACGTCTGTCTCCTTAAAAATATTTAACAATAGTGGTCGAATGTAGTATTATTACATAATAATATAATACTCTCTGTTGAAAACAATTGCGCGCTCAGCATTGTTGAAAAATTCTATACTTCGTATATTATATGTTGTTGCTCCTGTGGAACATAAAAACTTAGCTGAACAAAAACTTGCCATTGAACGATTCGTAATGGAGGACTTTACTCGGAGCTTCTGCTTTTAGCGTGGGGGGGACCGCATAGTATAGGTGTGCTCTTATCGGCCGCGTGGGTGGTGTTGCCACCATTGTTTCCGCCCCTACTATAAAAGCTTAGAATTTGGTATATAAAGTTATAGGCTTCAACATGTAGCGTAGCGGTCAACCGTCAGAATTAGCAGGCACAAGTTGCTGGTACGATCCACCCCGTGTTATGTTTTCTTCGCCGATCAGTTCGACGTAGAGTAAAGCCAATCGAGGTCTTGCGTAAATATAACGCAAGTAAGGGCTGAATACAATATAGCAATGGAGGGGAAGGCTCGCACATAGTTTTTTCTTTTCTCCCCTTCACACCAATCCGAAGGCTCACACATAGTTTTTTCTTTTCTCCTCCTTCATTAACACCAATCCGCGCATGACCGCTTTCATAACCTGGTACATTATGTTCGCTCGGCCTGTAGCTCCCCCACGTTATCCCATGTAGTAACCCCTGGTTGGCCGGAGGTTACACAACGCCCCCGTACAACCGTGCCCACTGGCCACCTGTGTTGAGAATCAGTCTAGCGCGGGTGCCATCTCTCCGCCTCATGTGGGATACTACGATACGGTATACGGTACGGTACAGACAATCTTGGTTTTGGAGCAATCAGGCCTTGAAAATCGGTCTAGGGAAAGGTGCCATATCTCCGCCTCTTGCGGCAACCCAGCGCCCACCGGCACATGAGCCATCATCTGAGTCGTCAGAATACATTGGACGCAGGTGCCTTCGTGCGGGTGACGCGCTTGCTGACTGCCCTCTCTCCTGAAACCGAAAATACGGAATGACCCGGATCTTCTGGATCCGAAATCCGGAATGACTAGGATCTTCCGGTCCGACGCTATCTGCCGCTCGACCTGCGGACAGCAATGATGATGCAGCCCCACAGAGCCCACAGCACGACTACCGTAGGTGACACAGGATACCACACCCCCTGGGACCGGCGTTCAAAGTGGTCGTGTGTGCATGAGCGGATGAGAATATTCGAACGGGACTGCAGGAAGTGGCTACGCAGATTGGAATTGATAGTCCCCTCGGTTGGTTTCATGGTTGATCCACGGGGCTCGGACCTGCGGGAGTGCTTGCTGTGTCGCGGCTCTCTCTCTCTCTCCCGCCACGTCCTGTTCGTGTCTGCTGTCCTTAATATGAGTCATACCATCATCTTCAACACACAAACAGGGTATACTAACACTCTAGAGTGAGTATATCCCTCGAGGGAACCCATGCTGGAGATGAGTGGCGCCGATGTTGCAGCAGAGGCTGCCGACGTCACCACTCGTACGCAGGGCAGAGTTGACAACCTGGAGAGCAAAGTTTCAGGCCTGCCGGACGAGGTAGAGCAGCTGGCTGGGCTGCTTCGAGCCGCCCTCGGAAAGTTAGAGAAGGAGGGAGAGTCCGGCGGCGCTGGGGTGGGCGCCGTCGTTACGGGCGCTGCGCCCACCCGCGGTACCCAGGAGGGGGCGCCGCAAAACGAGGGAATCACGCCGCCCTCAGACCCGGCGGTTGGGCCGGGTGGCGGACGTGACAGGGGATCGCTCCCCAAAGGTGAGACAACCGAGACATATGGCGGTGGTATTGGTGGTTTCGGCGGACTCGTCGGAGAAGGAGACGGTTTTCACCAGAACCCGTATAGCAAAATGCGTGTGTCAGTGCACGCGCCGCGTCTCGAAGATAGCCAGGGATATTACTCGTGGAGGAGGGCCTTTATCCAGGCTGCTAAAACGGTAGACATGGACGGCCAGTTCGTAGGGGCCACGGAACGCCAGTCGGACGTCGGGGACATGAATAAACCCAAAGCTACGTTGCTGGCAGAGGGGAACTCCGAGGCGCAGATCCACCGCAGCCTCCAAGCTTTCCACTTTCTGTCCTCGGCCCTGGTGAGGGAGCCAGACAAGGCCGTCTTCGAGAGATGTGTGACGCCGAAGCAGGCGTTGGATGAACTCGACAAGGTGCACAACCCGGAATCGCAGGTCGCCACACAGGAGTTGCTCAGCAAGTTTCAGAACTTCGCAATGCCGGCCGACAAAAACCCGACCGAATCGCTTGTCGCCATGGAGCAACTCGCAAGTCGTCCGAACGAGAGGGGGGTCAAAGTCGGGGCTTCTTACGTGCTGTCGCTCTTTCTTTCGGCCCTACCGGCCGAGTAAGACCATGCCAAATTGACTCTGCAGTCCGCCCCGACTCTGGACCGGGGGGAGGTCATCAGAGTGGTGGGCTCCCAGCACTTCAGCATCAAGCAGGGGAAGAGCCATCGGAACGGCAACCGCAACAATCCCGAGGCGTCTGCGCAGGGATTACTCGTGGGCGTCGACAATGGCAGCGGCGGAAAAGCTGGTCGCAACCGCGGCCGCGGGGGACGCGGCGGTGGCGGAAACGGCGGAAATGACGGCAACGTCAACGGCAACGGCAACGGCAACGGCAACGACGGTGGAGACTGCCGCAGTTACGGCGGCCGTCGTAGGGGCCGTTGCTATCGGTGCAAGAGGCGAGGCCAGTCGTTCTCGTGCACTACCCCCATTGCCGAATTCATGACCCAGTGCGAGAACTGCGACGGGTATGGACACGATAAGAGCAAGTGCCCGTCGGCGAAGGACGAGGAGGAGGCGAAGGACGAGACGGCGGTCATGGCGGTTGCGGTAGCGAGCGATGACGAGGAGCTGGATGTGGCACGTGAGGCCTTGTAAGAAGTTGCGGGGGAAAGACACAATAGCCCCGCATGTCATTACGCGCGCACCATCCACACACAGCAGCAGCAGGCGATGGTGAAGATAGCACCATTGCAACAGCGTGAAAGGGTGGAGACACATAGCCGCGACAGAAGGGGCGTGGGGGGGGGCAACATTCAGAGAGTAGGGTGAGATGGCCGTGCGCCCATAGCCGCGACGGGAGGGGCGCGGAGGGCAACAAGCAAAACAGCCCCGTGCCGCGCAGCAAGGAGCGTGGGGGAGGGCATCATACCCAAACAATAAATGAGGTCCATAGCCGCGACGGAAGGAGCGTGGGGGGGCAATGATCACAGAACACGGCGATATGGCCGTGTGCCCACAGCCGCGACGGGAGGGGCGCGGGAGGGCAACAATCAATGCAGCCCACAGCGCGTCGGGAGGGCGTGGGGGGGAGGTAAACATTAGCCCCGTAG